GACTTAGGAATTTACTTGTTATATGAAGCTTGTCCTAGTTTACTAAAATTAGATATTCTATTTAAAAAATATTAAAGTTTTTTTATATAGCTATTTATAGTACCTTTATACTATAAAGCCACAGAAAGTATATAATACCAGCTATTTTATCTTGTACAGTTATTAAGTGGAATTAATCTCCGAGCCAGATCTTTAAACTTCTTTGTACAACTAGCTAAACCACGAATATGTGTCACAATATTATAAAGTTTTCTAAGTGGCCTTATTAAATAAAATATAGCCTGTTTTTATATATTATTAATTTTATTACCCTTTACTTCTCCTATTGCTTCCTCCTTATTATACAAGCTAAGTTACTCAAACTTAATCATGTTTTAAAACAGGAAGGCTTGTATAGCTAAGTTAATAACATAGCTAATATAAAATATTTGCTAATATATAAAATCCTATTTAATCCCTTCTTTGTCTCTTAGATATATGGCTAATGTACGGCAAAGCTTATTATTTATAATTAGGTTTATATCAGCAATAATACTCGAATTCCTGAGCCATGAAGATATTTAAATCTTAAAGGCTGTCCTATTACCTGTTCAAGAAGCTGAGATACTTTAGTAAATATTATTTAATACCCTTCAGCATCTTGACGATTGATAAAAACACGAAGTAAAGTAATAACTAGATTTAACTGGTTAGTACTAGTTATTTACTAGTAATATACTAGTTATGTACTAGTAGTAGGGCACCTTACTTTTTTCTATAATCTCGTGATATGATCGCAAATACAACCTCTTTAAGGTTATTTAAATGTAGTCGCTTCCATCCCATATCTATCTCAAATAAAGAGACAGATTAAAGAAGATAGAGTTGTAAGTCCAGGGCACATATTATTATAATAGTATCCCCATCTTGAAAGACCTCTCGAACATAGTCCTAATTGGTTAGCAACTGGTTCTAAACTAGTTTTATACTGATAATATACTTTTATTTCTGGCCTTTGGTTTCTCATCCACTGTAAGCCCATAAGGCCCTGTCCTTCTGGGTATAGAGAATAAGCTTTGCTTTTTAAATAATAAGAGCAAAGCGATCCATATTTACAAAGCTTTAATAAAAATCAGTAATATAATTAACATCATATCTCTGGCATAGAGCTTGGAGCTCTGGACTGCGCCGAAATGAAGCTAGAAATTAGTTAGTTACTAGTTAAAAACTAGTTTTATACTAGTAAGTAATAGAGTATACTTACACAGTGTTAGGTCTGGATTTTGCAGACTTTGGATTAATTCTCTAATATCTGCAATAAGCTCTGGTGGTGCTTTTATTAGTGGTGGAGGAGGATGCTCATGCTTTCCATGTGATGTTAGGAGTATATAAGGGTATTTATAGAGATTCTTTGGAATAATAAGATTAAACACCACTTTACAACCCAAATGGATAAGCTTTTGAGGTCCGGATGGGTGATCAAAACCTATTGTACTAGTAAGTAAGTAGTATAATACTAGTAGTATACTAATAGCTACTTACCATAATTATTTTTTATATTATATTTGCATCTATTACTCCACACTCTTCAATATTATCATGGACACGCTGGTTAATCAGACTGACTAGTAGATTAATATCTGTATTATTAGAAAATTCAAGATTTTTGATTATATGGTCATCTACGTTAGGCCCAGATTAACAATTAATACAAGCAAGAACACGTGAACGTGTTCCTGAGGGAGGTTAATACTGGTTAAAAACTAGTTAGAAACCAGTGTAAAACTATTATTAAAAAGACTTACCTGCTCAGACATAGTGATAACTACTGGTCGACAGGTTAAATTCTGTTGGCGGCATATAGTTCCACGACGAAATGCTTTTAAAATACCATAGTACTTCCTAATATATGTTAGTACAGTATCCTGTTAAAAGTACAACTGGTAGAAAACTAATATATAACTAGTAAATAACCAGTACTATACCTATATACCTGTTTTTTTTTTTTATTCCCCCCCTATTAGTTCAACCACTTCTTCGGAGTGCTTGTAGTGTAGACCATAGCTTATTATTTACCTTGTAGTTAATAAAACTCTTTGATTCTTGATAAAAGATAGGGATAGAACTGTAATCCACGGCAAAAATACTTTGCTTGCCAGGCCCTAACACTAAGAAAAGGACATGTTGTCTCTACATCATGGTAATGCTGCTTTGTTGCATACTGAACCTAGTATATCAGTTAGCTACCAGTGGTATACTAGTTCCTTACCAGTACTACCTTTTGAAAAGTCTGTACTGGAGCATTCTTCAATTTTTAAGGATCTACAGGGATAATATATGTATATCCCTGCTTATTACTTTGAGGATATTCTGGTACATCAAGTGCATGCTCCATTTTATAACTAATTAGTGGTGTCTGATGTCCATTTGTAAGATAGCGTGGAAAATCTCCCTTAGTACTAGTTAGTAACTGGTATATAACTAGTACCATACTGATAGTATACCTACCGATGTAATTTTATTTGCTAGATCTTTAAGTATTGACTCTAGTGGGGCATCCTCTTGCTGGGGGACTTTAGTTAAGAGTCCATCCTGTAGATTCAAGACAAGCTCCATGGTGATTAGTCAAATACTGGTATAAAACTGGTTACCAAGATTCAAAAATGTTTTGAAAGATGGTAAGAGGAATGAAAGAGAAAGGAGCCACTAAACCCAAACATATTTCCCTCATAGGTGGGTCCTCACATGACCTCTAAAAATGGTTTAGCTTCCCAGCGGCTTGGCAGACCCACCTTCATCCCGTCTGCTCCCTGGAACCTCCCTTACCCTCCCTCACCTGCCAAGACCAGGTATTTTGCATAACTAACCTCATTTGGATGCATAAAAATAATGACTTATCTAACAAAGTTACTCGTATTTTTAGCTGTTCTGGTCTGTCTGGCTACATGTTGAATGAGAGGGAAATGGTAGAACTCTAAAGGAGTAGGTTAAGGAGACACTCTTAGATAGTTTAGAAGTTGTGGGCCCTGAGCCCACAACTTCTTGGTAGGAGAAAAAATAATATTCCCTTTACACAACTGCGTCCCGTGGTCTGCAAGATTGTTGTTGATTGTCTATTACCTTTTTAAACAAGGACCTAAGATAATAGCTATCCATACAACAATTATATGCCAATCCCCCAAGTTTTTTTACTATAATATTAGTGTTTTAAGCGTATTTTTTATAAAATATTACAAAATCCTACAATATTTAGTAGTAGTCGCGCTGGAAATATATCTTTTCCTCTACTATCTGATATTTTAAAACGTTGGTGGTTGGCAATAGTTAGTTGGAATATTAATAGTGTGTATCGTCGTAGAAGTATATATTATTTAACACTAAGACAAGTAGGTGCTTTTTTAGTATAAGCTGCAATAAACTTTTTGTATATTATAGCTGTTTTCTGTCTTGCCAGGAAGTTGTGGGCTCCGGTGTCACGGGCTAGTAGCCGGTTCAACCTATATAATAGATTTGGACTAAAAGAACTCGCTGAAGAGCTTCTATCTACGACCGCGGCGGCCGAACAGGTATGTGTGCGAGGTAATGTTAGGGACCTACCATATTCGGTATGGTCACGTGGCCTCACTTAGTCACCCATCTAGATAGTCAGCTCGCCTGAGCCCCTTGAATTCAGAGAATTGTGCCTCGCGAACAGTCCGGTCTGGTCAGCAGGATGGGCACGCGGCGCGGTCGGTTTGTTTGCCTGCGTGTTACGGTTTGCCTGCGTGTTTGGATTGTTTGTCTCGTTTGAGCGACGGGAAGCGAGGCGGAGCGGGAGGGCGGACGGCGGACGAATCAGGGGGGGCGGGGGGCGAACGGGAGTCGGGTGGGACACGGACTATAAGGTACACACACAAAAAAACAATTATTTGATTATTCAGCACCTTTCTTCGTCAAATGTTGCTGATGATACTCCACGATACAACATCATCGGATCGCTTATATTTCCTATGTTAGTCAGTTTAAATTCTTCGTTTGTTTAACTCGCCCTTATAAACGCGAGATGTTTTGGTAATTTAGTTGAATCAGAGGCCTAATTCTATCGAGGATCGATACTTGTGAATACGCATATTTTTATGGTCGATAGTTATAATTCCGGTAGCCCGGTTTATTGCTAAATTGCTTAATGGAATCTAATCGTCTAATTCAAATAGGAGCTATTCAGAACTTCTCACTGCGCTTTATGACCACGTTGCATTGAAGCTACTCACTGATCCGAGAATCCACGTCAAAATGAAGACGAACAGCGCTGCTAAGAAGGTCTCCATCGTCTTAAAAGAGATGATTGGCGTGCCTGGTATTGTCTTATTTAATCTACTGTGAAGTCACGCAATGTTTGGGAGTATATTAATCCTGATACGCCCAAAGAGGAATTACCGGCAATTCCAGAGAAGCCGAAGATTCCGAAGAAACTAAAGAAACCAGATGACAATTGGAAAATGGAGATGCAATTGTACACCATTAAAAAGAATAAATATAATAAGGTGATAAAGGCTGTATTGGGATAAGGAAGGGCTGAGGGCACAGGGCTAGGGCTTGGAAGCTTCCCACCATATCCTCGCTCGCCATGACAACGCCCTTCTTCTACCTTCTTCCTTTCCTCCCCATCTTTAGTATTCTCGATATAGGACTCAATGTGATCTTATCCATCTGATTTGCCTGCCGTCACACCAACCGCCGAGATGCCTGCTGATGGGATGACAAAGGCTTTACCAACTCAAAGACATCAAGAATTTATAAAGATGATTGTTTTAGCTGATGTAGAAAGACTTATTCTTGCCTAGTTAGGCAATATTTTGGTTTTATACGATATTCAACTATCCATGTCCTCGCAAGCTGCTGAGGGGGTGTGTCGACAATTAACTAAAGCCAGCGCGCTGAATAATTCCAATATAGAGGAGTGGAATTACTAATTTGCCGATATGCAGCATTAGTATACTGAAATCAGTGGATGAGTTATATATAGTACTATATTCATTCTTTCAGCGGCAAGAAATCTGCGGATCCTCCATGTAAAAACTCCCAAACTCGGCAACTAGTCGTTGCGGCGTCGCGGCCGTTAGACTTGTCTTCCAGCCTAAACCCCCAGCCAGGCCATTGAGAATATCCTTTCTGGCGCTGCAAAGAGTTTCTCTCCAGATCTTTTTAACCTTGTCGCTCCGATCAGGCTCGTCGGAGGGGTAGAAATTAGCATCGGCATCTTTGATACCGACAAACTTGGGCGTCTCATTCTCCGTAAAGACAGCCATCTCCATCGCTTTGGCGGCAACAAATGTGCCAATCTTATCATCTGCTAACTTGGGCTTTGGGGGTTGAATTGACAGTCCCACCAGTTTGGAAAGAGTGCCCTTTTTGCCATCTAATAAAGACTGGATGTCATTCTTTCCGGTCTTGCGCGGATTTTCTGATGCATTATCTGCAAATAGTTAGCAGCGCATTGTTTAAGTCAGATACGCGTATTTTTCGGGAACTCGAATGTGTTCGGAATAGGTCGAGGTAAAATGGATAAAGGCTAGGGAACACTCTTTTCGGATAAATAAAGCAACCTACATTCTCCCCACAAGGCCGAGGGCACGTCCTTCACGATTTCTGTGACCCGCCAGTTCTCGCTAGTGAGCTTGTCATCCTCCATCAGGACGGATTCGGACTCCATAGGAATAATATCTACAGTGAGACTTGACACAATAGCACTCTTGGTCTCCATGGGCTTTCCGTAGAGAGCTTCTTGCTCTTTGGATTCCCATTCTGGCACCTCTGAGTTTTCTCCAAATTCTTTGGGTCGTTTCACCTTGGCGTGGGTCAAGGGAAACCGAACGTCGATGGCGAACACAAACTCGTCAGCCTTGACAGCCCAGGCAGTCTTCTCTCTGGAAATCACTTGATCTCCTTTGTTCTCGTCTTGGACCATGCCCCCACGGCACGTGAAGACGTGTGGGTTATCTTCGTTCTTCTCCTGTAAACTGGGAGCTGCAGCAACCGCCAACGATGTGACGATCGACTCGTGTCCTGATACAACCACCATATCATAGAACTGGTCTAAGGATGGTGGGCTGTCTCGCTCGGCAGGTTCTCCGAAGTTGACGCTGAATGACACAACCCAGAAGTCCACCTTGACCTGACCGTGCAGTGGTGGCCCCATGAGGTCCAACTGGGCGCCGACTTCAACCGACACTGTAAAGCTTGTAATCAAGAGATCAACCTTGCAGCTAACGCCAACTGATACACCAACTTGTCCGATGAAGTCGAATGGCATATAATTGATAAGGAAGTCAGCCCAGGCCGAGAACCAGGCCCTCAGAGGGCCAACCGTTAATGATGCCTGCAATCGTCCCCCTCCCATGCAACATTTCGGAGTCACGGCGAAGTACGCCTCACCCACGATACTGATGTTGGATCCCACCTGCCATTGTATTCCTAGTCGCGGGGGGGTCGGGTAGTACACGGGTCGTTGGAAGGACCGGTGATATCCTCCGATAGTAAGCACCCATTCGCCCCTACGCTCTGGAACGTTGTCATTGAACCAATACAAGAAGGCAAATCCTCCTGTCAGACGGCAGTTGGGGTCAAAGATGTAGGAGCTCGGAGCAAGTTGCATTTCAACCTTGAACACACCCGCACCGAAGTCAATCTCCGCCAGGATTCCGAGTTCGACGTGTGCAAATGTTGTTTTGGACCCTTTGGTCTTGGGGATATTTGCCACAGCAACACCAAAGATTCCGAGTGTAATCGAAGGGTCCCATGAAACCACAAAGACGGCGTCGATGTCGAGCATCTGCAGCGCACTGATCTTGAGGCCTGCCGCGAACCACATGGCTCCCTTGCGAATGGCGAAAGCTCCACTACCGTCGACTACCAGTTTGCCGAGGTACTCGAGTAAGTCGTCACTAATATCTGTGCCTTGGAGGAACGGGAACTCGCGGACCGTTTCAACGGTTGGTAGTTTGATTTCGCTGTTGTACCCGAACCCACCAGTGATACCAGATATCTCGGCAAACTCGAGTGTGATGAGCGGGCCCTCCAATTTGGCGAATACAAATGCAGTGTCGTATTTGACTTGTTCATTCACTTTCCCGTAAATTCCAGCAGCAACGAATTGGTAGGGCTCGAGGCCAATCACGATACCTCCTGCGTAATATTGTATATTACCCTGAGTCCGCTGCACGAATATTCCTCCAATGCGGACAGGTGATTGGTTGAACGCGACAGCTAGGCCAGACAATCCAAAGCTAACATTGTCAAGTGTTATATCCCGAAGTGTGTTTTTGCTTAGATCAATCTTGATGGCAGCCCCAATGAATGTGAATCCGATGGGGCCCAATACGAACGATGCATCCAGCAGGACGGAAAGGCTCTTATTCTCATACTTGATACCAACACCGCTTATCGATATTGCGCCTGTGATTCTGTTAACCTTGAGTTTTTCCCTTAAAATACAAGATGTGAGTAAATTCGTTATGTTCCATACCTGCCACCTTCTTGTACGCGGCCATTGCCGAGTTGCCTTTACTGCTCCCACCAGTCGCAGCGACTGCCTGTCCACAAGCAGGAACACTACCCTTCTTTTCCCTACCCATGGTATAATCAAGGATCGCTTGTTTCTGATTTGCCGATTGCATTATTACCATAAAATGGGACCCTGCCGGAAGTACCGTGTCCGTAGGATTCCGTTGTTCAGGCTTCCTCGTATCTCGATAAAAGAGCCAGTCTTCGCTCGGCTGGTTGGGTCTGCCATTATTGATGCGTTCAATGTCTTCCTGGGTTAATCCAGTATTGTTACCTTTCTGACCCTTGTCCTGAACCCAGAGGTACGCAATCTCGTCGAAGGGTTGTGGGAGATCACCCAGCGTGTCTACCGTGAGCTTCGGGAGTCCACCCATAGAAACACTAAATACCCGCTTGGGAGGACTTTTGGGGTTCAGAGCGAGGTCGCGGTAGTGTGAGAAGTTCACATTAATGGGTCCAATGCTAACAGTGGCTTGGAAGAGGATATAGCTCTCCTTGCGATCGGCTTGGGTAGCTGCAACTTGACCTGTTCCCTTGGACAGCTTGACACAGCTAAGGCTGATTATCTTGTCGCTGGGCCCTTTCTTTATGGGCAAACTGAGGATAAAGTCCGGTAGCGCCTCCGCATCGTCGCCGTGGTTGTCGGTGAGACTGTCGAGGATGTCTCCCAATGTTAAGGGGTCGGATAACTCCGTGGCATCAAGGTCAGCCGATAAATACCATCCCGTAGTGTCGTAAGTGTATTTCATGGAGAGCGCAACATTTCCAAGGTAGAGCGTTCCAGAGAGCTCAAACTTGCTGCCTTTGCCCCCTTCGTAGCTGTAATTTAGGTCCAGATTCGCTATCTCAAGGTAACCCAGGACTGCGGCAACGTCGTCCTGAGCACTGGGGTCTAGAAGTTGGTAGAGAGAGCCGAAGTTCAGCGCTGTGACAGATCCCGATAAACTCCAAGTCTTGTTGCTGCCGTTATACTCGATAGTACCATCTAGCGTGGCCTCATAGCTTTCATCATCAGGTTCTTCATCATCGTTGTCACTTTCTGGAGTTTGTCGATTGTTCAAGGAAGCGGCCAGAAACAACAAAACCGACAATTTGTCTGTCCTTGAATAGCTTGCTTCAAGTTCCACCACATCTAGCGAAATAGGAGGAACTGCTTGACCTGGGGCGGGAGGTTCACAGAAGATGATGGCGGACATTCTGATGGCCTTTGTCTGCGTATCTATTTCGATCCTGGCTTGTCGAATCGTATTGGGGATGCCGCCCGGTATGCTTTTCTCATCAATGCCCAGTTCAGATAACTTCAGCTCAGATTCTGGATTTTCTGTCAGAGGATCGAGAAACTCGCTCGGCTCCCATCCAGGCAACAGCTCTTTCGATGTTTGCGTCGATGCGAGCCAGAGCTGACCGATCAGCCGACCGGTAGAGCTGCTGTAGGATATTAGAATAGGTACAGACTTGATGGATATCTCCACATCCACCATCCAACCCTGTAGTGAGGTCTTGCCATCGGCCTGACGAACGCTTAGCGATAGACGCCTTGGTGTGAACACATCTCCAATAAAATCTAAACCTTCCAGTGCTCTAGATACAGGCGAAAGGTCGATGCTTTCGAGAACACGTCCCAGCCAAGCGACAAAGGCATTCCAGCTGGACTTGGTCGCGCTTACTAATAGGGTAAGCCCGTCGTTACTGAGGCTGATGGAACATATGAGGGCCAGCTCTGAACTGGGGACTTTCACAGTCGCCTGAAGAATGAGCATGCCTTTTGACACCATTTCAGGACCGGGCCGCCACGATGTAGTGCGAGTGGTGACGATCATGACATCCTCAAGCTCAAGTTTGATGCCACAATCTTGCATAAGTTGGTGCAGAGGGCTTGAATCTACGCACCATTGTAGGCGCTGGGTCACTTGATATGCACTAGCCGGTTCAAACCAAACAGCGTTTCGGGAACCATCCTTGGTGGACAGGGACAGTGTCTTTTCCGTGCCAAGTTTATTAATAAGAGGATTTTCGGCAATTCTTTCCAAATCCACATATTTCAGGATGTCGGATAATTTGGCAGTGATGGCCTGCTCCTCGAATGTGGATCGTTTGTCGAAATCATCTTCACCATCGGGGTCAAATCCAAAGACCATAGTGTTCGCCTGATCAATTATTCCCATATTTGGCACAGTGCCTTGGCATATATTGAATGCTTTGCATACTGCTCGTGTGTCGAAGGTCAATGTACTCCCACCAGGCGACCTCGTTGCAAAGAGAAAAGCTGATGGCTTCCCTTCACTCTCCGCCACAATGTCCAGATGCACAGTAGAGGAGAAAACGTCAGCAAACCAACAGTTCCACTCTTCGTTTTGCAGAAACGGTGTTCGAGAGTTTGCCTCGGGCTTTTTTATGAGTCCAAACCTCTTGTAGGGAAGCCTGTCCACAAATTCTTTGAGACCTTTATCAGAAATTATTGTGACACCATCACCTGGTATGGATCCTAGCCAATACCCATCATCTATGCAGGGACCAGGTTTATCGAAGGGGTTTATAGAACAGAGCAGATTATATTTTTGATATGCCTTAACTGGCGAGTAAAAGCCCGGATATTGAACTTGAGCTTGATTAGACAAGATATCTTCTTCAGGGATATCTTCTTCGTGGATATCTTCTTCAGGGAAATCTTCTTCAGAGATATCTTTTTCGTGGATATCTTCTTCAGGGATATCTTCTTCAGAGATATCTTCTTCATTCTCAGTGAGCAAGTCATCTGTGATGTCAACATTGAGCATAGGATGGTTTCCATTATTGCTCGAATTTGCGGTTCTGTCCGCTTTCCTCGGTTTGCTGTAGCTAGAATCCTCTGGCTGCTCGATTTCATTTACGTTTACGACAGTAACGAGGTTATGAGGACCTGTCGTTCCATCTTTTTTTGATCGGATCTTTATGTAAAGAACCAAGTCCAAGGGCTGCTGGGCGGAGATACCTGATGGGTTTCGGAACATGCGGCTCAGGTTGAACCGCCATGCCTTCTGAAGCTGATCAACAAGCCAGCGCCTGGCGTTTTCCTTATGCTGAAATTTAGGTGCAAGAGAAACATACCACGCTATGGCTTGACTCCGTATACTTTTTGTAATGCTAGGCAAATCCTTATATAGTTCTTCTAATTTATCCCAAAAATCAGCCAACGGGTTTATCTTATCATCCTCGCGTATATTTTCTCCCGTGACGAATTTGGCGTAATCGCCTCCTGGGCATTTGCGTCCTGGTTTAGTTTTGCGTCCTGGTTTAGTTTTGTGTCCTGGTTTAGTTTTGCGTCCTGGTTTTGTTTTGCGTCCTGGTTTAGTTTTGTGTCCTGGTTTCTTTTTGCCTTCCATATTAATGAGCGCATAGTAAGGAAACCTAACGACTTATAAGTTACAGGGAATGGGGATGCTGTGAGTGTAAACAAACTGCAACTAACCGGGTCGCATAGACTGGTTTAGGTTCCTTATTGTTGTTCTTCATCAGCCACGCATTCAGATAGAGAAGCGTGCCCCAAGCTACATGTATGTGTACGCGCCGCGTGAACGATGAGTGATTTGGTTTGAGAGGACAAAATGCTAAACTAGGCATAACTCACAAGGATGACAGTGCATAGCCCCTGCGCTGATTATGATATTTTCAGGGGACAGCATGTCTAACATGCGAATAGGAGTACACTTGACATCTCCATGGTGACTTCTTTTTGTCAGAGTCAATGCATGTGGCTGTTTTATTAGTGATGCTTGCCTCAATTTCATATTCGTCACGGGGCCCCCAATCCAATTTGCAATCCTCTCCTCGGCCTTGTACCCCAAGTCACCAGCGAAGTAGTGCGTGGCCGTAGGCTCAGGCCGAGTCCATAAAACAATAGCACCGATAGAACAGTAATTCTTCTTATTCACATTGTCATCAAGTAGAAAGGAACCGATATCCTAATAAGTAGAATAAGCTTAACGACCCTAGATTTGAGAGAGCTTATATGCCGCTTACCGGTTCGGCCTCGGACGAGAAGCCAATAGACTTCTTCTCAGGCTCGGGCCCGATGACACAGTTTCTAGATGACACGCAGTAGATGCCAACAGGAACTTGTCCATCTCCGATTTTTGTCCCTTCCATCACTCGGGCTAACATTTCTTTAGAATCGATTTCTTGGTACCTCTTGCTTTCCAGGTGACTGTTGTCAAACAAATTGGTGCCTATAATTTGGTTGGGCTCATAGCGAAGATTGCATAGATTGCTAATCTTCACGTTCGCCTTTTTCCACTCCTTATTCGTAAGTGGCCCATGTCCCCTGCGAAGAACGAACCAGAAACTGAATCTGCTATCAGATCCTATGAAGTTCTTGGGGTTATCCATCTTATCGTTGGGCTTTGACTTCTTGGGATCTGACTCCTTCCTCTTGCCGTCTGTGTCGAAATTTTCTGCATTCTCATCCCAGTACGGTGCGTAAAGTGTTGTAAGGCAATACTTATTTTCATCACGTGAATTTGAATCATATAGGAAATAGCGGCACTGGCATTGTTTAAGTAAATTTAATATATCTTTGTCTTCATTGTTTCTGTTTTCCTTTTCCTTCAATGACTCGAACTGGCTTTGAAAATCGCCCTGGATTAGCTGGTCGATGCCCCCAAAATGGTCGTCGTCCCAGTGAGTGATAACAACACTATCAAAGCGCATATAGCCCTTGTCGGATTTATGATTAAATAGATCATATTCATTTTCGATCCTCTCGATAGTGTCCCTGATTTTTTGAGGGGGATCTTTATTAGGTTTCCCGCCATCAATTAAACATGCTCGCATCACTTTTGGCTTGTCCGCATCAGGGTTCTCCACCAACAGATGGATTGCGCTGTCGCCAGCTCCGACATTGATGTGCAAAGAGTCCACTGCATATGACGTAACCATGGTTATAGGACGATCGATCCGTTGATGCCAGCTTGGTACTGGATCGACTCTGAACTATGTTAGAACTGAGTAGCAGGCGAGTAGCAATCAAGATAATACGAAGGTGTTTGGCCACAAAAACTCGTGCACAATTTTTCAAACAGCAATATATGCCCGAGTGGATGGACGTGGGAGTTTCGAGCGTGCCCGAATATAAAGTGCCGTTTCGGCCAATGAACTTAATATTAATTTTATGTACCAGAAATTCCCAGCACCACGTTGCAGACGACGGTTCGCATTCAGCCTTTGTATTCCCTGGCCTTGCTATACTTCACATAGACTTCCAAGTGTGCCACACTTTCACATACCGGTACCTTCATACCAAAAAGTGATACAAAATCATGGAATCATGAAATTAGTTTGAACCAAACAGTGGTCGGTCCAGAATGGGATATGGTAAATTTCCCTACGCGGCTGACGGATTTTACTACTCCAGGAAAGTTATTCTCAAGAGATGTGGCTGTCTCCTCTCAGCTCTTCTTGGATTTTTTTTTTTAAGTGATTCTGGAATGCGAGATGTTTGCGGATTGTTTTGGCTTACAATTTTCGAAAAGTACCCATAATTGGTCGAGTTATGTAGACTCTAATGAATGAATACAACTGCATTCGAAACTGTATGATATCTAACTTAGTGGCTGTATTGATATAATATCACTCCGAAATGCTTGGTATCCAACACCCTGAATTCTTTGCAATGGCATGCATCTAGAGCGTTATATGTTGTGAAGTTTCATTGGTGCATGTTCTCGTCAACTGCTGATATTGGTGTATGCAACATACAACGTGCAGTCTAATATAGCTAACATCATGTAACATTGTTAGAAAAACACCAACACAAGTTAGGCATATATGTTACCATTGTGATTATTGACAAGCCCACCTTGATCAGCTCTCTTTTAGCTCTTATAATGCCTTCCACCACACGTTGACAGCCCACCGCTTGCTAAACGTCACTGAGGAAGGCCCGCTGACTGCACTCTGCGGAGTATATATCTAAAGCCATGTAATATTCGAGCTAGTCAGAAGTGCTATTTCTTACGCATACTAAGCTCCTAGTGTGCATTAGCTGTTGTTTCAACAAAGTAGGTTATTATTACCATTTGTTGATGTCTATGACGGTTTGATCATAAATCTTTTAATGCAAGTTAGCTTGATAGATAATGATTTCATAACCCTTTAAGAGTCATGACGTCACTAATGAAATGACCAAGTTCTTGACATCCTCTTAACAGGTTCTCTAATGAAGTGATCAAGTTCTTGACATCCCTTTAACAGGTTCTCTAATGAAGTGACCAAGTTCTTGACATTCCCTTAACAGGTTCTCTAGCCAGCCACCTTAAGGTTGTAAATGCAAGCTTCCTTCCCGGTGCGGTTCACATGCAAATTGTCAATTGTTTCTATTCCGTTAATTCAAGTAAACAATAACAGTCACTTCCTCCAGTCTCATGCTTATCAGAGATGCTATCACATAAAACAGAAGACATACATATACTCGAAACAAAATCTTATGTTGGCCACAAATCAAAACCATCCTCATCATCTTAGTCTCTAGTTAAGATTTTATTCCCACTAGTTGCAATCATGCCTTCTAAAGCTATCGCTTTTGCTGCAACACTCAACGTGAGCTCAAAGAATGAAATCATTGTCTGGTACCTCAAAGACGGTTATTCTCTCATGAAACTCAGACCCATCAATGCACTTCTCGACAATTATAAGGAAACGATTGTAACGAAATCGGCACCAATAGTCGGCGTATCAACGGACAACAAAGAAGTCCCTTCTCAAGTCCCTCCTTTCCAAGATTCGTGGACCTTTGCGCAAGCAACCACTACTAAAATGGTTAGCCTCGCTTTTACCATTCTAGTGCAGTAACGACTGATTACCACTCAGAAATATGCATTTGCTGTTAGAGATGACCACAAGGTCTGCATGATCAGCCCTGCATACTATCCATTGCCAAATACTACACCAACCAATTACAGCGTCGCCGCTTGTGGAACGACAGTCAAAGGATCAGAGGGACCTAGAGATTCTGTTTTGCTATTCTATCTGAAGTGGGGATTCATACCTACATACTTAGTGGCGTCCATTAAATTTAGTCTGCTAACGCTTGTATAGGGCAGAAGGAAATAACGATCCCGAGCTTATCGAATACGACATGGAAGTTCCCTGGCAGAAACCATTACCGGATGCGCATCCAGACGTGAGTTCTCGTTTGTGTGCACTTTATTATACACCCAAGGATAGCCCGCGACCAGTTGCGTTTTGCATTTACCAGAGTAAAAAGTACATCTATGAGTACAACACTTTCAAGCGTAGAGGAGGTTAGTAGACCTGCAGACTGAGTTCCAATTGAGCTCATATATGAACCGGTAAACTAACTATGGCCATGAAAACAGAGGAACGGCTACCAATCGAAGATGCACTGGCTACGACTCCCCTGGCCGCCTGTCTCTACAACAAAACTGTGTACTACTTTTGGCTCTCCGGTGGCTATGTTCTGATGTATATCACATGCGTGAATGGGAAATGGAGCAGTCCGGCCTCGGTCCCGCCAAACGAGGACGACAACCAGGCGCCAAATAAAGCGGACTCTCAGTCGGACCTCGCTGCCGTGGCTGATCCCTCCAACAAATGTATAGTACTTTACTACAAGGCCGATGGTTCACCCTCGGACTATGACGAATTTGTGTGGAAGAATCTAGAATAAAGGACTTGAATTTGCAGAGATCTCACTGTCCCTTTCTTTCTCCAGTAAATGGTGGGCTAGTGTCTTCTGCATCTATGGATTTCTCGGACTCTTATAATTTCTTCAGTCTTACTGATGCCCTCTATGCTTGAAGCTATGAGAAAAATAAACTTATAATAGTGAAATAAGTTAGTATCTGATGATATATGTTGGTTACCTTCTGTTTCTAATACGGTGGAATGACGCTCACTTTTAGTTGAGAAGTGAAGTTCGTACATACTCGTACTGTCATGATTAGAGGATATGCCATAGCTGATTATCTGGATACGACGGTCCGAAATCTCCGGAAAAACGAGAACTCCCTGGCGACATTTCAGTGTTTCCGAGAAATCATACACCATTGCTATACGGCCCATGGCGGGGGTTGCGCCCCCGGAGGGTCGGCACTTACGGTACTCGGCGTCTACGATGCCGTATGGCAATTGACTTCACATTTGCAAGGAATTTGACAGTCATTTTCAACAATTGTATCCGGGCGGTCTTCTACGGGACACGCCCCGGGGTAGTCACCAGCCGCGTCAGGCAATGTGTGAGCCCCGGATCGTAGTCAATCGCGATCTAAACCCGACATACAGGCAATAAAACTAACAAACAAGTATTTACAAATCGGAACTGACTGTTTGGATACTTGCTTTTTCACCGAATAATCTAACATTGGTATCATGGAAAAATTAAATGACTCGAATTTATATAAGGCTAGCGGAGTGACTATAAAACAATTCCCAGCTGCCTTTACACTTCTCGATCAGATGTTGAGGGGCAAATAAAATTTTGCTGTTTGAGGATTGCGATCGACAAAAATCTCCTGAATGTTGACTTCAACAGCTGGATCTCCCCTGTCAAATGACCATTTTGTATAATCGGCAAGCATGACGCCGCTGAGAATGAGGCTTAAATTGGTCAAGTTACGCATAACAATACTGCCAGCCCTGGGCGCAATAGTCAGATGAAATACCAGCTTATCCTCGGTGTTTTTGGACAGGGTAGGTGCAACATTGAACCGAAAATCTGTGACCATGGTCGCCCCGGGACCGTCGTAAAAGTCCATCAACGTGGCACGTCCCCTATCGGGCTGACCGTATGGGAAAGAGATAGTAATTTGTTTGAGTATCCAATTATCATTATCTGGGTTTCGACGGGATGAAAAGATGAGATCTTGCTTAAAATTTTTCCGCGTCAGCTTGTCTTTCACGGACGGGTCTGCTAGCGAGTATATGCTATAGGCCATAAGCAGGTTCTCAATTCTTGACTCTACCCCTACTTCTCCATCTCTCGGATCTCCCTTGAGAGGTTTTGTAATTGTTATTGGTGCCCTGTCTGTAAGTGCAAGACGACGGAGATGGGGGGCCGGAAGGAAAAAATCATGTCCTTGAGCATTCTCCTGGCGGCCAGGTGACTCCTCTGCCCACGCCACGAAGGGAGCATTCCAGTCAACAGGGGCTGAGTATGAAAAGATCAACTGATCTTCAGGCCTGTTGTCCCAAGCCTTAGGTAGGGGGGATGCAGGAGAGCGTAGCATCCTCAACCCGGCTAGCATTCCATCATCGGCACTGTTTTGATCAGAAGTGGTAAACAACGAGGGCTCCATCTGAATCTCTAGGTACAACATAGGATGATTGAGCTGTATGCCCAAGAGTGTGGCTGTCGGCTCAGTCTCAGTATAATCTTCCTTCAGCTCTTCCCCGAGGACATTGTGGATTTGTTGGACATATGCGGGGAGACGAAGGGCATGAACGTTGGTCTCGTTCTCTGCCCAGGTAAATATAGGGCCTTCATAACCGCCTTTGTCATCCCCCCCTTCAGGATAATGTTTGAGCGTCTCGACAGGGCTGGTACGATTGGACCTCTTAGCCTGCTCCTCGAGTGGGATGGTATAGATCTTCTTATAAAGGACCTCCAGGTATGTAGGCTTCAGCGACTCGCCGCAGCAAAATGCCTGTTGGTGTGGCGGTTCACGGAGTATTAATTTTCCGAAGAAATCGCTTCCAGGCTTCTTGTCAAACATAACAAGAAGCACCCCTTCGGCAATATTTTCCTGTCGTACAATAATTGTTGGGTCCGGCTCGTCCTTGTTACGGGCATATGCTTCTACGATGAGGTCAGGAAATTTGACGCACAACTCGGAGCGAAGTAGAAAGCCGTATCCGGGACGCTGCGGAGGATAGTGCAATCCTTCTGGCTTTTGCTGCAAATATTTATTGATCATTTTTTTGAGCTCTCGGCGGATGTCATCGTCGTTTCGCAGGTGACTTGAAACACTAAGTGCACCATCGACGAGCGCATCGATCCAGTAGCGGTCTATGTGGAAGAAGCGGAGGCTCTCCTGGGGCAAATATGAAGGATCAGGTATGTAGTAGTGGGCTGGGACTCCAGCCAGGTATATGCGGTCCAGAATCCAAGAGAGGACAATCATCCAATCAGGACTCAGGGGTGTGTTAAACTCATTGTACACATAATCGTCGGAGGCTGAAACTGTCAGGCGCTCGGTCTCACGAGCCACATGTCCACGGAAGTGTTGCTGCACACAAGAGCTCCACCGAGGCATATCAACTGATACAAAGGATGATGGGAGCCATCGGGCATCACGACCATGGGAGAGACTTGTAGCATCCTGAAGAGTCCTTAGCGTTTTCATAGACTCAGCTAGCTGACAGAGGGTTTCGTGTTGACCTTGAAAGGAGCCATGAGCCTTGAGAATTGATTTTTTGGTTTCGTCAGTAGCAGCACGGCTGATGGTAAGACGCAGGCGTCCAAGTGCTGTGGTATATCCCTACATCCATGGATACGATCAATAGTCAGTAATGAAATAATAATTGGTGGAGATAATCCATATATATGGGGAGTTCAGTCCACGATACCTGATCTGCGAGTGCCAGAGCCTTTCCCAGTTGCCAAGCCACACTGTACGTGATATCCATGATGCCCGTCTCTCTGTCCATAATCTGCAGATCTGTGCCAGTGTGGGAAATGCATGTTTCAACATCGCCGTGGTTAACCAACGTCGGCACCAGCGGACCACGTACCCATGCGGCAGTCTCCTCTCCTGTCTGAGTTCGGTATTTTGTCATAACAAAGCCGTCTACCAGTCGATCTCGGAGGCGGTCTGGAAGCTGCTTTCCAGAAAGGCTCTTTCCAAACTGTGTTAGATCGATGCGCAAGACATCATGCTTACCATCGATTTTTCGACCGATATTTCGGAAAGCATCGTAGACGTTGAATGAGTCAGGTGGAAGGCAGGTATATGACCAGCTCTCAAGACTGCATAGAGTGACCCTGTCTTTTGGTGCCGGATACGGCATGCCTGAAACGTGCTCAATGCTGACAAGATGAACAACCAAGTCTGTCGGCTCTGTGATGTCCAGTGGCCCAGCACGCTGAGAAATAACAACGCTGAAGACTCCTTCTTCCCCATCAATGCCGCTGTTAGCCATCCCAATTGTGTTGATGTTCCTCGTATGTGCAAGCCATTGGTAACGTGAGACGTCGCAGAGAGTCTGGGTCTCTTCCTTCTCGTCGTCTTTGAATAGGACATCAAATATGTTTTTGGGCACGAAAATGAAATCCGCCTCAAGGTCTTTGCTATCGTCATCATAGGTTGAACCGTCCGACTTCACAACAGGGCTAGTGCAATCCGAGTCACTAGCCGTCACTAGGTCTCCAAGAGCACCCAGAGTCAGGGTAACGGCTAACGTGTTGCCCTGCTGGGTAGCCTTGGGATATCTTAGTTCCTCCTGTCGAAAGATAAGCATGGCAAGCCACGGAACTCTGTTACGGTCTTTGGGATCTATGTTGTTCACAACTCTCCTCGCCCATGGAAGCTGGGGATCATTCAGGACAACATGCGGCAATATTTCCACGTTTTCGGTGTGACCCTGAGGTGGATATACAGAATGCACACTGCCATTGGGCAACTTGTACCGTGGTGCGACCACAATGAAATCCTGCCAATCATCGAGCTCCTTCTTCTGACTTGTGTCTTCAGCCATTTCAATAACTTGTTTTGTTGATATACGGTGTAAGCCCGCGACCATAGAAGGTTCATAGAATGAATATAAACGTTCCTGTCCTGGTCCCAGTTTTTCAGGCTTAGATGTTTTAGCCAATGCTTTTCGCGCATATCGATGAGAAAGATATCGTGCCTGGGGCGGCGTACGGCAGATAGTGTATGTAACCATTGTGCAAAGGAGAATTGAGATATAGTGCTTTAATTAAAACCACAATCAACGTAGACAGAAGTTTTCGAGAATTTAGTATATATCCACTCTTCTTCGGCCACTTGATCGTGCTAAGGATGAATTGCTACCATAGAAAAGTTCCCCTTTTCCCCACCGCTTAGGTTTGGGTCAGAATTTATAAGTGTAATTCTATGAGCATGAATATTCATTTGTATTCATGGTTTTTGTGTGTTGCCATCTTCAGGATCAATCACGTCATGACTATTTCACATGATGTCCCAATAGGTATGGACTAGCTTTATTTTGACAGTTTGAGACATACAGGCATGGCTACTCAGAACATATGCAGACGTATGTGGCTACCAGGGTGACGTCATTCATTTCCTTACTGTATGCTCGCAAATCCAAGAAATCAGCTCAAGACGTATGCGTGAGTTGTCTTGATGTGTGCTGATCTGCACTGTATACGCGGGATGAGACATATACCGCAGATCTGCTGCGTATTCGTGATATTGCTAGCTTATGCAGTGCAACAGTCCGACGCAACCTCAGTGTCTATATCTACGTACATGAGGGGTTACAGCTACAAAGGAAGTCGAAGTGCGTGCGTAGGAGGTAATAGTAACTTGCTTTCAATCTCTTCGTTGCTGGGGCTAATCTATCCCACGGCATAGCTCTTGGGCCAAAGTTACTCGAACGATAAATTTCGCCGAGATCAACGTACATTCAATTGCCCCTCTATCACAACGCATTAACAAGTTATTATTGTGTTTTGAAACGGCCGGAATAAATCCGAAGCTTAATTTCAACAAGGAGGAAAAAGAAGAAAAGAAAAGAAAAAAGAAAAAAAAAAGGAAAGAGAGAGACAGAGAAAAGCAGAAAATAAGACTAAAACTAACTAATAAAAATGACTAGCGAATTAAACAGCACACTTAGTGCACCCATGAAGCTGGATGCCTTTGTGTTTAATGGTGAAGTGTGTAGTGGAGGCCCTGATGCTGATGAAGCACGAGCCAAGATTGCTCCCATCACGCAGCCCAACTATACATTTCTCAGGCTTCATGACTCACTCATTCAGGTATGGGATGTGCAACTTCCAGGCACTAGTGACCTTCACTCTGGTTTGCTTTGTCCACACGGATGGCTGATGATTGTGTACTCCAGAGTGATATCCTGCCTCATGTCGACATTCATAATTCGTTCCAAAATAGATATAACTCACGCCTTACCAACATCGATACCGGGGAAACTTACTCTCACCGCCAGGGAGTATATCTTCACTGGATGTTACCACATGTCTACCGAGCAGGAGTAGCAGCAACGGAAGAGCGCGAAATCAATCGCGGAGAAGAAGGGCTTCCCGACGTTGACGGGGGTCAGGATAAGACAGCACCTCAGTATCGTCCAGTCCCAAACAGATGGTTGGTCATTAGGCATTTGCAAAAGAGTTTTCCGGACTACAAGTCTAGCGGTTTACCGGAATATGAGGCCTGGGTGATCGAGAGCGACAAGCAGAGTAATGTCGCGCGTATGCCCAAGGATAAGGACCTCCAAGTTGACGTGTCGCCATTTATAAGTGCACCTGTTGGGGAAGCGGTAAGAATTGGGGAACAAGCTGAGATATTTATCGGGTCGAAGACGCCAGTGGGTGAATGGACGGAGCTTAATGAAAAGCGGGCGCCGCTCACAGTGCTTCATGGAGGAAACATGCTCTTCCCAGACTTTCAGCAACACAACACCAACGTTTTCAGCATGTTGGACAATTTCAAGTATGGGCCCAGGAAGAGTAGCATGTATCTTGAAAGCGCAACAGCCGACTACTATGTAATAGGATGGCATGCCCTAATTGATCAGGGTACGTAATCTGTGACAGCACACTCACTCCTCCCTCTCTACTGGTGGGAAGCAATCTGTGTTGGAAAGGATCTGAGATCATCCACCATGTCCATGTATTGACACATCATCATAGACCCATTCTATATCGAAGACAATAAAGCCACCAGGTCTCAACGTCTGAAGCGTTACAATATGGTATAGCTTATCCACTGATGAAGTTAAGGAATATTAAAATATAGTTTTGATTCTTATAGCTGATCGATCATGCTCATAGTGTCTGAGCCAAAATTCCAATGATGCGACAAAGTGGTCTGAAGAGTCTAACTCGGGCCATACAATTTGCCACGGTGCCATGTATAGCGTCAAATGGGACGTCTGCAAGAGACCCAAAAATATCCCAGCTGACAAGCTATCCAAGCAATTGCAAGATATGATGCCGGTAGCCATTGGAACAACACCATTGGACTCACTACTGGCATACGTGAAAGCCCACCAGGAAGACGAGCAGGACGACCGCATTAAGAACGTCATGAAGGCAATCGAAAACATCCAGAAGCATCTGCTTGTTCAGGAGGACACTGTTGACGGCCAGGAGCAGGCAGAAGACATTCTCTATAATTTTAATTTTGATAACTTTCCGGGTGGTACAAGGTACCACATTGCCAGTGCTCCTGACTATAAAAAACCCACAGTAAAGCCAGAAGACACCATTGTGGACAAACTTGCCTGCCTTAACCGGGAACAAGTTCGCCTAGACTCGCTCGATCGCACTGAGCAGCGTCTTCAGTGGGATCTCTTCTCTGTTTGGTGGTCATTTGTCAGCAGTGGAATACCGGCGGAGAGTGATCAGAAAGAAGCCTTGACAGGCAAGATTAAGAGCGAAGTGAATAGCATGATGAAGGATAAGGATGCCATTCACACAGCTCGCCAACAATCTCGGGATAGGAAGCAATATCTCTTGAAAGATGAAGAATTGAAAGGCCTTATAGATAATAAAATCATTGCTCCCAGCGTCCATCCAAATTTCCATACTCAGCAAGACCCAACTCTGCTGGTTGGGCACATCCAGTCTGCATGGCCTCATGACTGGCTTGATCCATTATTCGTTCGTGTCAACACCGACATAATTGCATGGAAGAGCAGAGACAAATTGGGTGAGGTTCGAAATGGAGTGGGCATTGATAAACTCCCTAAGTCGATACAGGAGACGGCTGCGGCGCTCACTGAAGAATTCATCGAGCTGACTGTTGATCAAATTCACCCGAAACCGGCGCCTCCTGGCACATTAAAGCCACTCTACCATGACACAGATCCAAGATATTCTACCCGGCGCGATGGATGGGATGATACACAACCTTTTTTCCCCTTGTTTCTGGAGTGGGAGGCTGAGTATGGCCATATTGACTACATGGAATGGTCTCTGGAAGAGCGGAAATCTTGTGGGCAAGGTTCAACGAAGTTGAGTTATGGAATCAAAAGCAAAGACCCCCTATATGGCAAGGATGAGTGGAACCCCAGTGTCACCCCGAAGCTGAAGCAGAACATACGGATCCTTTCTGGTCGTGTCCTGATCCTGCCCCAAGCTTCACTGTCGTTATACGCACAAGTCAAGCAGATGATCGACCAGACGCCTGAGGAAGAGCTCAAGAAGGCACTCGGGGACATGGATCCCGAAGTTCTTCTACAAGATGTTGGCAAACTCGCTTTTCTGTCCTCTCCTCTCTCTGGCTTTCATGATCATCTTTTGACAATGAGCCAAGGAACGCATATAAAGCCAACTTTCCGACAACCTGGTGGTAAACTTGAATATATCAAAGAGGCCACTAGTAAAGAAGCAGGCTTCCTTGATGATAGGGTCGTGTACATGGGAACCGAGACGGATCTCACACCATACGCAGGTCTGGTGCCTGTATCTACGGAGACAAAGGACAGCCCTTTCAAACCTGTAACGCACGGCCAGTTCAAGATCACCAAGCTCAACGTTATCGACAAGTTCGGGCAGGTCATTCACGCCCTGGATCCTCGTTGGGACGCAGCTCCTCAGAACCTCCGGCCCTGTCTGAGCGAGTTTTTTGGGCCGCAAAGCCTGGCTAACGGCACGCCAAACATTGTAGAGAAGCCCCTGGAAAGACAGCAAGGAAGCCACTACGCCCAGATACCACCTCATATTAACCAGCTGGCAAGAGTCAACTCGTCCTTTGTAATTATGGATTCAAGTGGGGAGTGGATTCCGCAAAACGGTATGTAGGGTCTTCTGTTTTTCCATTGGCCATCTGACTCTCTGAGAGCCCCCTCTGCATAAAATCTCCCCATACTACTATTGAATAGTTGCTCATTACCAACTGCTACCCCTCCATATCTCTGAATACTTAGTTAATACATTGTGTATTTTCGAATAGAGTGGGACAAGCCCATCTGGGGCTGGCTGGTTTACAACTACCTGGACCAGGCCATCCAATTCTTCCACGAAGACGGTACCTTCTACCGGGAGGTACGGGTGGCAGGGGACACCGGTGCCACAAAGTCGGAGAAATGGCTTCCATTCAAGAATACAGATGATGTATCCAAGGGAACTAACCAGCTCGATTATCTGATTGACCGGATGGCGAAGAGTCGGGACTATCTCGCCGCAATCTTGGATATGATTGGGGGGGCAATGGACTATGCCGCCGCGGCGCCGGACTCATATGCCCAGTTCCTCAACAGCATCATCGGTCGTCCACTAGCCCTAGTGAATATGGGTTGGAGTCTGGAGTTGGGCACGAATGAATACGTGAGTCAATCCGGGGTCCATACGGTCAAGCCAGTGCGGAAACTGCTACAAGACCCTGGAAGTACCCGTGGAGATCAGTACAGTTTCCCTCTAAAACTGGGTGACAAGAATCGCTCCTACGATGGGCTTGTGGGTTACTTCAAGACTCTGCCTCTTAAGCAACAGACGAAGGAAAGCTATCTTAACCTCGAGAATTGTTATACCTTCTTTGGTATTAATCCAAAGGCTGACACAAAAACGCCCCTTATCGAGATCAAGCCAAACAATTTTCCTTCTTTGGAGCCATTCTACATCGACCCAGTTAAAAAAGATGCTAAATTTATGGAACGTGAGCGAAACAGAATGCTTGCCAATAACACATTTGGAGCCATCGTGGATCCTTTCCGCCCCGTGCACGGGTACACAAGTATTCTCCCTATCCAAGCGCTGAAGATTCCCGAGTGGACGTGGCAAGAGGCTTTGTCCCGCATGACTGCCTTCTTCCATTTCGGCCCTTTGTCTGTTACAAAGGACGTCCCCAGCTTCAACAAGCACTATCTCCTAACAAAGGAGACCAGGATTAAGGACCCAGAAGCTATTATACCGGACGCGATCAGTCTGCCGAAGATGGGAGCAGCGGACTGGACGTGGCTTCAGCCGTATAGTGAAATATTGGATGGGGACAGGGAGGATAGTTGCTTCATGCCGCTTGGGATAGCAGGTGCAGGGACCAAGCCAAAGTTCGAGGATGGCCCGTACACATCAGTGGAAGGATATATGCAGCTCCGCCAGTCAATTGTTAGAGAGTAGAGATACGGGAGTTGCTCCTATACGATCAGAGGACTAGAAGCACGAAGAGCTCGTGTATTCAATCTCTCTCTAATCCAAGGGGTATCCGTGCCAGTGCTACTTGGAAGCCTATGACGCAGGCTTGTCATCGATAAGTTCCCTATCAATAACAATCGACAATAATCGTTAACTATCAACGATAATAAAATCATTGATAATCAGCAAAATATTCACCGCCTATTTACTGCCTCCTAATAATTATAAGCAGCTTTATATTTATACCACTCTTTTACAATTCTGGTAAATTGTAATTAACTATCCTACCTAAAATATAGATTTTAATATAGATTTATCCAGTATTTTTAATATACCTACATTTAGGCTGACCGTTGGGAAGCGAAATTCCCATGGGATTATTATTATTATTATTATTATTATTCTTCCATATTATAGAGCATTTTTCAGTCAGAGACTATGCATGCTCTACCTACCACCCCTGGGTGGTAGGATTTGAACTAACAAACAGATACGTACATAGTGGGTTGAATCAAACATAAATAAGCAGTATGACATTCTAGGAGTAGGGGGGACCTTATAAAAGGGGTTAAACCATGTGAAATTCCAATTCTTTTTGCTTTTTTCCTTTTTTTCTTTTGTTTTTGTTTTCTTTATGGATCCAGGAGCCACTTCCTAGTGGCAATTCCGGTTTCCTTCAGGAATTTGACCAGTTGTTCTTGCCCTGCTTTCTTCGTAAACAGATAAGGCAAATTTCAGTCTTTTTTGTCTAGGGTCTCTATAGACCCTTTTCTAATATCCCTGAATGCCTGGCACTGAAAACGTAGGTGGTGCGGAGTTTAGCGCTTGTTGCTGACGCACGATGTGCATATATCGCTATCGTAGTTAGGTGTTCGAACTAGATAGGATCTAAAATACCCATGCCCTAGCTTTAGCTGGATAATGGTTGACCAGGTCTGCTTGGGAAGCTTTAGGGGGCTTGGTTTCTATAAAGCTATGGAATTAAAGCCCCTATATTGATACTTTTCCTAGCATTTTCCCATGCTTATCCCAATCCTCAAGGCATTTCGCTTGAGCTCTGTTTAGATGGCTAACTGAAATGGACATTTTAATATTTACTTGTCCATTCTGCGCCATATTTCGCTGCTTCGTCAGCTTTGGCATTACCAAAAATTCCCTGGTGGCCAGGAACCCGTTGGATATAAATATTGATATTCTTATCCTTAGTTCTAGTTACCTATTTAAAGATTCTTTGGTATGGTTCATAGCTGGTGTCTGCTAATTAAAGCCTTTTTAGGGCTGCTTGACTGTCCGAAAAGATGTAGATATCTAAAGTTGGAATTTAAATAGCCTTAAATGCTTGTTTTAATGCTTTTTGGATAGCAAATAACTCCGCATCATAGACCTCGTATTCATGACCTAGATTCCACGCCCAAGCCTTTTGATTTTGAGGATTATTCTCTAGGAGGAAGATTCCTGCTCCGTTTTGACCACTCTGCAGCTGGGATCCATCTGAATAGAAGATAATTTTGTGGTTATCTCTATTAGCAAGCCATTGAGATATTAGCGTCTTGTGTTCCTGGGCTGCTTGCTCTTTTGGTTTGTTAGAGATATCTATATCTATCATTTGGCTCAGTGTTTGGGACCAGGGTGGTAAGATTTGATCTAGCGTCTGAAAGGTGCCTTTCCACGTCTTAAAGGAGAATAGTGCTAGCAGTCGGATTAACTGGCTAGGGTATTTTCTCTTTCTCTCTCTAGGGTGGTATTCCGGGTCTTCTGCATCTAGTAATCTAGATTTCTCGTTCCAATCCAAAAACCTTGATTGGTCAATGGAGAATTCCCCCGGGTTTAGCATGAATGTGGTAGGTAGTCTGCCCCATTGCATTTTATGAGCTTCGGCCTAGGTGCCACTATTATAAAACCTAGATATAAGCTACTACTAATGGCGATACACGTTAAGCTAATATACATTTATAAAGCACCTATATAACCGACACCGCGTCTGTCCTGTAAGCCAGTATTAATGATTCCCGATGCTAGGCATTTTCAGAGCTTCGGCCTAGGCGCCATGATTATAAAGCCTAGATATAAGCTGCTGCTATTAGGTGGAGCTTGGCATTTTCAGAGTCTCGGCCTAGATGCCATGATTGTAAAATCTAGATATAGACCTCTGCTAACAGCTTAATCCTCATTCTGATATTTCTCATTAGCATTGGAACACGAGGCGGAACGCGAGGCGAAACGCGTCGTGAGGCGCGTGGTGAGACGCGCCAAGGACACGGTAGTACCCCCTTTCCCCATGAAAGTGAGGGAGCGCAGCAGAAAGAGCGCAGATAGAGAAGGGAGCGAAGAAGGAAAGGGAGCCGAAGTTGTTACGAAAACACTATAATCCCTCTGACTTCGCGGTGCGAAGTATCTAACGACCGATTTAACCCCTGAATCCTTTAGATAGTTGAACACCACAATGAGAATATAGGGAACTGCTTAGGAGGCTCAGTTGGTTAAGATACTGCAATTCCTGGTGTTTCCACTGAATAACATCTACTTCCTAGTTAGGCTAGTTGGCCTGTAGCTCCCTGCGCACCACTTCCCCTGAATTCCACAACAGAAGTATTTTGATGAGGTTTAACACCAGTCACAATTTCATATTGCCAAGAAATATTGATAATAATATTGTCAATAGTCAATATTATATTAGCAATATTCAATATTGATTGAATCCACATTGACTTATTAAAAACAACACTGAGCGTGATAGTGGCGGATTTTATGATAAAAATAGGCCTGCTCGGGCAGTTTCAAGCAGTAGACTCTGCAGTAACAGGGGTTACCAACCAAGCGCAGGGCAAGACGTCTGTCTTAGCCAGCATAAAATAACTAATAAGGACATTGGGCTGTTGCCTGAAGCGAGCTCACACCAGCGGACGCCAGACCAGGACACCTGTGGCCGCCGAGCAGACCAGATAACGGTGCGGAGATATACAGAAGCTGTTGGGGGGGCCAAGCCAGTGGCCACAGGGTTAATAGATATTAGAGACGCAGTGGGATCTACAGTGCAGCCTAAGGCAGGATGGAAGGGGATACTGCAGATGGAGAGGTACAAGTGCTGTTAGGGGTTAAGTAGTAATACCGCGGCTCTAAGGACGCCGCGATATTCGGTGGTGTTGACACCCGGGGTTAACAGTTATTAAATTTTTTGTTTGTGTTGCTTGTTTAGCTATATCCTTTTCTTAGGGCCAGCTGCGAACTCTGGGATGGCCAGCCGCCAGGTGTGGCTTCCCCAGCACTAACTGTGTCAGCGCAATCCTGCATGGCAACATTCACATGTAAGCTAGGACAGGTTAATAAATACTACTACTACTACTACTACTACTACTACTATAATTTACCAGAATTGCGAAAGAGCGGTATAAACATGAAGCTGCTTATGATTATCAGGAGGCGGTAAATAGGCGGTGAATATTTTGCCGATTATCGATGACAAGCCTAATCCGGGGAGGTAGGCCACGACGATCCATATCAATAATCCATGAGATAAGAGTTGATTCTTCTGTATTTGTTAATTTTCGGCTATTAGCAACTGATTCCTTGCGAGAGGTAGTGCCATTCAAACGAGTCATCAAGGTGCTTGGGGGGACATCAAATGCCTTAGCTGCAGTAGTTTTAGATTTAAAAAGGCCGCGCCTATAAGCATCTATAACCAATTGCAAACGGCCTTCTTTTGAACTATCGGCCATGGCTCTGTGGTTGGAGATAATAATATTTTGAATAACTTCGTGGTAAGCGCGTAGCTTGGTGGGGGACCGCCCAGCTCGGTGGCCGATTACGTTTGGAATAAGAAGATAAAATTAGTGGGTGAAATTCAAGGGATTAACCGTTATTTAAATATTTTACATACTAGGGGTATTATGAAATTCCACCTGGTCGCGTGGCGGGACCCGCTTTCCGAGTCGACGCCACCGGCCATTTATTTGACAGATGCTTAGTCAGGTGCGAAGTGTTTATCGCACCCGCGCGCGGCGGCGGGCCCCGGCCTGTTAGGCTGGAAAAGGAAGATGTCACTTGCTTTTGTAGAACCAGTAAAAAATGGAGTGTCTCGCGAACTTTAAGCGTGACGTACATTGAAACATGTATATTATACAAAAGTAGCTAAAGCTGACTGTTGCACTTTTACGTTATATGGGTATTACCTGACGTCAACGAACCAGGGTTTACGTTATGGTTGTTACCACACTAGGCAATCTGGATGATAGCCTTGACACGTTCTGACGTTAACACCTTTGACCACAGTACTTACAACGCTGTTGATACTTAATTGGAACATATAAAGGGCTGGGTTTCTCTCGTCTCATTCTTACTTCATTCCTCCATCCGACTAAGCTAAACCAAAACAAACTATTTAGTATCTTATTATTGTACTTATTGTACACACAACTCAGTATGGCAACCGCATCGATGAAAGCTGGCCCTGCACGCGTAGAGAAAGGGGATGACCTCTACGACGTGTTTCGTAAGTCTGCTTTCGCTCAGGGCCACTATAATGTTCCTGAGTCTCGAATCAGGGATGCTTTTGACGAGGAGCTGAGACAACCCGGTGGCCGCGAAGCTCTTACCAACATTCTCAAGCAATGGGGCTCATATCCACCATCGGAAGACTTGAGTAATGAATCTCCAGTGGACGAAGCCGTTATCAAACTTAATATTAATGAAGCAACTGTGGATATTACCATTGGGGAACTCTCCTTGTATGCGAAGGGACTATTTAGAGGAGGGTACTTTGGAACAGGACAGTATGACCTCCGGTATGTTCTTTATACCCTGCAGTTGAATCCCTGCACAACTAACCGAAAAGTCAGCGGCTTCATTAAATACAATGATACAGATGACTTGCAGGGAACCCAAAAGGCGGAAATGTTCAAACACGATGAAAATGTAAGGAATGAAATACTGGTTCACTGGCTGTATATAAATCTAACTGATAATTAATATAGACTCTCGTTATGAACATCTACGCGCCTGATAACTACAAGAAACTTCTCGCATACATTGTGTTATACAGGCCAAATTTCCACTTGACTGGCGTGAAGCCTGGTAGGATCACATTCAGCCCCCTGACAGTCTAGGAAAGCATGGCCTTTGCACGAAGCCTTGATATGGGTTTTTTCGTATTCCAGGGATACTGGTTTTTTTCCCATTTCCCTAGTGCAAATGCAGAGGCTTCCACGTTTGTCGTAGTATCTCTATGTGATTTTCTATGAAACCATCCGAGCAATAAAATTGTTAACTACTAGTGATAAAGTTGGTTGTTATCCAGCTCCCCAGTGGGGTTTATAAAGTTTTGTAGCAACGTGGTCAACTCAAGCAGGGAAGAGAGACTATTAGCTGTATTCAAAATGTTGTGAAATTCAGGGGAAACGGGGCGCAGGGAGCTATTCTATCAGCTACAGGCCAACTAGCCTAACTAGGAAGTAGATGTTATTCAGTGGAAACAACAGGAATCGCAGTATCTCAACCAACCGAGCCTACTAAGCGGTTCCCTATCAGGCTTGGCAAGAATAAAATCTAATTCGAATTAATGGATGAATAATCCTTATCCAAATAACGTTATCGGACACCGAATGTCGCAAGACACCGAATGTCGCGCCGCTCACCGCTTCTTCCCCCCAACCTTTAGAAGCTCAATATCTTTATATTTTGAAGCCTTTTCTTATCAATATTATTAAAATGACGTCTATTTCAGAGGATGAAAGAATGAAAATGGCTATTGAAGCATGGAATAATGGCCAATTTACATCAAAAGCTGCCTGTGCTAGAACATTTGTTGTGCCTATTCGAAAGTTTCAACGTCGATTTCTAGGAATAACCTCTCGCAAAGAAATAGACGCAAATGGACGAAAGCTATCCAATCTTGAAGAGGATACATTAAAAAGATGGATTATTATTATTATTATTTTATTATTATTATTATTATTCTTCCATATTATAGAGCATTTTTCAGTCAGAGACTATGCATGCTCTACCTACCACCCCTGGGTGGTAGGATTTGAACTAACAAACAGATACGTACATAGTGGGTAAAATCGAACATGAATAAGCAGTATGACATTCTAGGAGTGGGGAGGACCTTATAAAAGGGGTTAAACTATGCGAAATTCCAATTCTTTTTGCTCTTTTTCCTTTTTTCTTTTGTTTTTGATTTTTTGTTTTAGGGATCCAGGAGCCACTTTCTAGTGGCGATCCCGGTTTCCTTCAGGAATTTGACCAGTTGTTCTTGCCCTGCTTTCTTTGTAAACAGATAAGGCAGATTTCGGTCTTTTTTGCCTAGGGTCTCTATAGACCCTTTTCTAATGTCTCTAAATGCCTGGCACTGAAAAAGTAGGTGGTGCGGAGTTTGGCGCTTGTCGCTGCGGCACGATGTGCATATATCACTATCATAGTTAGGTATTTGAACTAGAGAGGATCTAAAATAACCATGCCCTAGCTTTAGCTTGATAATGGTAGACCAGGTCTGCTTGGGAAGCTTTAGGGGGCTCGGTTTCCATGAAGCTATGGAATTAATAGGCCTCGGAGTTTGCAGACTCTAACTATCTTTTTATTTATACTTTACTCGATATCTATATAGCTACCCCCGAGGCGTAGTAACACTGCAACTGGAAAGTATACAATGTTAAGGACTTGCAGGCCTTTATAAATCTTAACCTAAACAATAAAGCCTTTGTACTAAAAATAAAATAGTAGATTAAACTTGTAATAAACTACCTTATTAAAATAGTTTGTCAAGGAATTGCTACATCCACACTGTGGGCAAAGCCCAGCTGGTGGGTGAACCCCTACTTTACTCTGGAATACCGCGAGATAGTTAAGATTACTTACAAGTTTTAACACAAATATATACAAGCTAAAGTAAATTAATATAAATCTGTAAATATTTATATACACAACGCAGCCTCTGTGGCCTGGGCTAAGTATGCAAAAGTCCGGAACTGTAAAAAAAAGGTTATAGCACGAGCCCTGCGGCAGGGCCACCAAACCTGGGTCTGCAAGGCCACTAACGCGGGCCCTCGAGGCATGTGGCGTGTGGCCAAGTGGTGCAGGAACAGGGAGGCCCGCGGAGGTTTTATACCCACACTAAAAACAGATACAGACGCTGGCCCCGGCACAGGGACAGCAGAGACCGTAGAACAGAAAGTCGAGGTATTCCGGAGGGTGTTCTTTCCCTTACCACCCCCCTGTAGATCTCTTTAATATTGGTACGGCTTAACTACCTTAGCAAATTAACCTCCCGGACCTCCAGCAACAAAAGGTGCTAAAGTGTATTTAACAAGCACCTCTGGACAAGGCACCTGGACCGGACGGGATCCCTAACAAAGTATAGCATTGGCTAGGAGAGCTAACCTCCTTCGTAGAGGTGCTAACAAGGATCTTTAATACCTGCCTAAAGGTAGGCCATAATCCGGAGTATTTTTAACAGTTAACAACAGTTATATTATAAAAGGCGGCCCCCCCAGGGACTACTATATTCCTAAATCCTACTATTCTATCGCCCTCCTAAACACCCTAGGTAAGATCCTTAAAGCAGTAGTAGCAACCAGAATCGCCTATGCCCTGGAGGAGCACAACCTGCTCCCTAGGGGCCACCTAGGTGGTTAAAAGGGTATCTTAGTTAACCACCTAATTTAGCTGCTTTTTAACAACATCTTTATAATATAAAGGAGCAAGAAGAAGGTAAGCATACTCCTCTTAGATATAGCAGGTACCTTTAATAGTATCTCCTATATTTAACTACTTCACAACTTGTGCATAGTACGACTAGGTTTCTTCGCGAATTAGCTTAAATTATTTCTCTCGAATCGGTAGACGCGCATCCAGTTGCCCGGCTATGTTAGTAATCTTATCCCTATATTAACAGGGATCCCACAGGGCTCCCCTATCTCCCCTATTCTCTTTCTCATCTTTAATGTGACGTTGCACATGGTCTGTTTGCATTGTTTGTATCTAGTTTTATTTATTTCTCCGCACCGCCCCCTCGCCACCTTTCTTTCTCCTCCCTACGCATGAAATTTTCGTTGAGATAGCACCAATTTCATCAAATTGCTTGGCCGTCACGCTAACTATGATAGTGATATATGCACATCGTGCTACAGTGACAAGCGCCAAACTCCGCACCACCTATATTTCAGTGCCAGGCATTTAGAGACATTAGAAAAGGGTCTATAGAGACCCTAGACAAAAAAGACCGAAATTTGCCCTATCTCTTTAAAAAGAAAAAAAAGAATTGGAATTTCACATGGTTTAACCCCTTTTAGAAGGTCCCCCCCACTCCTAGAATGTCATACTGCTTATTCATATTTGATTTTACCCACTATGTACGTATCTGTTTGTTAGTTCAAATCCTACCACCCAGGGGTGGTAGGTAGAGCATGCATAGTCTCTGACTGAAAAATGCTCTATAATATGGAATAATAATAATAATAATAATAATAATAATAATAATAATAATAATAAGGTGTTTTTATTAAATTAGGCCTCCCCATCTTGTGCTGGACATGTATAAGACTATATTAGCTGCGCTGTGGCTGTTTTCCCCCTTTTTAACTGCGTTTCACATGAGTCTACCGTGGGTAAAAGTAAAAGATTAGATAAATCTGCATTAGAATCTATTTTTATATGATAATATAAAAGAATATAAAGAAGATAAAGAAGAAACCAAGAAAACTGTTTATAGCAATATAGATAGTATAGGCAGTGAGAATCTGCCAATTATTAATAGATAATTGATAGATTATTGCTAAGACCGATAATTAATAATTAAGCGATTAATCGGTGCGGGAACTTATTGTTGCCCACCCTGGTTGATACACGAATACCCATTTGCTAGTCATCACTTTTAGTCACTTTAGGATATGCTCCTCTTACAACGCTTTCGCAAAGATAACAACCGCGTTGCCCTCGCCCTGCTTATCCTTACCGGCATCCCAGGAAAACCCACCACCAAGACCATTGTCCTTAACATATTTGCATTTCTCTTCAACCTCTTTCGAGGTGTCATATGAGATCATCTCTCTTTTGCTTGTATCGTAGCTCCACGATGCACCTGCTTTATCAGAGTAATCCTCTCTGGCACCTCTCTTTGGAAGATCTTTGTAGGATGGATGATCAGTCGAGACTCTCGTGAATGGCTTACCAGGACCATCGGTTCCCTCGAAAACCACCCCGTATAATGGGATTCCAAGCAAGATCTTTGAGGCACCCACTCCTTTACCTTTATAATTTTGTACAACTCTGTCAACGCTGAGGAAAGTTGCGCCACTCCCGCTATCTTCGTGAAGATTGGAGGCATGGCCAGCAGTTTTATTCCAACTGCCCGCAAAGTTGTACGCCATCAGGTTGTAGAATACCACCACATCATTCATGCCAGTGAAGTCCAGATACTCGTACCATTGTTCATCTAGTTTGTATAGTTACAGCTGTTAGACTAGATCATATATAAAGAGCAGTAGATTAAAGACATTGCGCTGATGAGACGTACTGGGAGTAGTGGCGGCAGTTATGATGGCCTCGGCGCCAAGCTTCTACATGAAGTTAATTCCAGCGCTGGAAAAAGTGGTGTTAAGAAGCCCACACCTTGCGACACTTTCAGGAGTAAAGTCAAATTCTTCCCGTCCTCCACTGCTCGGATGCATTAGGTTTTCCCATGCCACGTTCTTTAGACACGCTCACATACCGCTCATGGGGAACTCCCAGTTAACATCAATTCCTGCAATTACGTCAGAGAAGAGCGAAAGCAGAGCGAATTCGATAATTGCGGACCATCAAAGCTATATTTCTGTGCAAGTTCTGTTGCGGTTTGCGCAAAGGTCTTTCGCTTGTTCGCGTCTCCCACGACGACCCGAAAGTTCGCCGAATACGCGTCGCCCCCGATGGAAAGAATAACCTTAAGCTGAGAGTGCTTTTTCTTAAGCTCAGATAGTTCCCTCGCAGGCTTGTCAAAATCATTATTAGGTGCTTTACTAGACGATACGTGAGGCAGACTCGTGAGAGGGGTTAAACACTTTTAGACTGTATTACGTACACTTTTCCATCGGTGCCGACATCAGCAAAGGCATAGAGGACTAATGTCAACTTGTCTGCGGGCAGCTTGCTAACAGGCCAGGACCACTGAGACTATATAATATTCAGTCACTACAAGGATTGTAAACTTGGGGAAATAATAACAAACCCAGCTTGCATAGTAAGCAGCAACTTCTTTTCCAGAGGGCATGGTGTCTGAAGAAAACAACCGAATTGGTGGGGCACTTGTAAGGCAACGCAGATAGCAAGATTAATTTGGGAAGAATATAGTAAGAAAACAAGGTTCCTCGCAGAGAGCTATCCTTTAAAAATGTCTTGCGGAATCTTACTCTGTTGCTATAAGATCACACCCCAAGGGCTCTGCCTGTTTGTTAACGTATCTATGACTGTTACATTATTACATGCACCGTATAGGTGCTGTAGCTATTATAGAAAATAAAAACCTTCGCTTGTATACTTCGCAGCACTGTCTGACCGTTGCCGAGAGGTGTATATAAGGTTACCATGGCTCAAGGCAAGATTCTGGTGGTACCACTGTATAAAAGTTTTTTAGTTAAACTTATTCACATGCTGGATATAGTGCTCTCCAGACAGTAAAAAATCAGGGAAAGAAGAAAAAAAAAATAGCAGGCATCTACCTCTTAACGACTAACAAAGGGGTGAGAAGAGCCTGCTGCGTTTGGTAACAACCTTTAATTCTTGTACCCACTGAGGGAGTATCCCATGGGCTGTGGCTGCTCTAGATTCCATTAGACCTCTCCAAAGCCCGCGTGAGTAGCAAAATTTTACCTCTATTCCCAACTCCTATATTCCCGTGGGACTCCCATTGGGTACCCCTTCAGTCCCGCCGCGGGAATAAAATAATTTCCCGCCAAACCCAATTGTCTGTATAACTCACCCAAAAAGGATGGATAAATTACTAAGTAATCAAACTATATTACTGTTATTTACGCATGTTTGGCGAATACAATGTCTCTAAACACTAATAATATATTATATAGTAGAAATTTATTGAAACGTCTTTGTATATAGCTTTTTTAAACGTAGGATTTAAATAATTGCCTTAAAGTTTGGGGTTTGGGACTCTAAGTTGTTGGTTATATAGAAGGTGGTAGTTTATGGTGTGGGATAACAAGAGAAGATACATGTGCAGGTTACGTAGGTGGTGGTGGAATACACTACCCCCCAGGGTATTTCAGCAAAATTATTTTTCTTTATTTGTTCCAGAGTTGTACTTTAAGCCTTAGTAGGCAGGTGTTCGTGACATGGATTATGTTCCGCAAGGTTGACATCCTGTCATGAACCCTAACCTTGAAATGATGGAAAGAGGACTGGCACTCGGATCCAGCAGGGCGGAGCACGTTGTTAGGAGCGCTCGGAAGCGCGATAGCTAGATCCTTAGCTAAGATGCTTAGTCAGGTGCGAAGTGTTTATATTCGCACCCGCGGGCCTGAACTCTTGAAGGCCAGCGATTAGTTCTGCAATATACGTGGCTCTATCTTCTCTCCTATATAGACACTCCCTTTCGCACCGTAGCGCCCCATTCAGCTCGTTACCGACCCCCACGCATAACAGTTCTAATCGCTCACCCCAACGGTAACCCGCTGAAAGGAGCACTATGGCACCTCGACGCGTGCAGCGTGCTGGCTCCCAAGTCACCCGAAACACCGAGAATTCTGTCAACCCCGTCTCAGAGAATACCGCATCTATCCAAGCACAACCTGATGCTTCGATGAATCCGGGCCCAGCTGAAGAAACAGTTGAGGAAACAGCTGTGTTGCAAGGCGATAGCCCTCGAAAGGGGCTACTGGGTCCACAACAACAAACGATTCTTCATCGGATAATGAATTTGCCGAACTCCGGGACCAGATACGCCAACAAAAGCAGGAACTCAAGAGATTACGCATGGAAAATAAAAGGAGGGCATTGCAAGAGCTTATCGATTATGAGAAACGCATCCAAGAAAACCGAAGTGCAACAATTTCGCGGCCAGAATCCAATATAAGCACACCCGACCATGGAATACCACAAGAAACCGCACCCCAGCCTATGCCAGAGCCCACGCATGCATTGAAACCGCCAGCACCCCCAGCACATGTCTCGGAATACATGGGAAAGAACATGCAGGAATATCAGACATTTATCGCACGCATGGAAACCCATTTTCGAACGAAATCGCTACTACTTTACTAATGATACGACGAAAGTGGTGGAAGGTACGGCACATCTATGCGCAACATTTATCCGCCTATGGAGGCAACACGAGGAGGAAGTCGCCGATAAACCTACCTGGGAGGACTTTCGCAAATTTCTACTACGCCAATTAAACGACCCTGTTAACCTGCGAAGAGATGCGAGCCAACGCTACCATGACGCCAGACAACAGGATCACCAAAACGTCGGGAATTCGCAGCTTACCTTAACCAATGGGAAGTTCAGCTCCCAGAAGCATACACAGAAAATCAACGAAAGGATCACCTCCGGACAAGAGTCAAGCAAGACCTGCGACATGAAGCGCTTAAATACCCCAACGAACCAGAGACATATGAAGGCTATATCGCCCACCTCCAAACAATTGAAGATTCCATACCGGGTCGACGCAAGGAAATATCGCAAGCGAAGAATAGGAGAAGCCAACACAGCTTAGCTATGCGACACCGGACGACGACCCCAGGCAACACGGAAAGACAACAACCTTCCAGTCAACGGGGCCCAGACAAGCCATGGAGAGGCAACAATCGCGCCTTTAGAGGAAACTCTAATAGGTCCCAAGGTCATAAGCGACAGCAGTCGCATAACCCTGATATTGAATGCTATGTCTGCGGAGAAAAGGGACATATTGCGCCTCAATGTCCCAAACGTGCGAGAAGGGACGACAACCAGGCAAAAACTAGGTGGCCCAGTGATGCGAGCAGCTGCGGCTCTGGGCCTAGAGGAAGAAAATCCAAAAGATAATGCCATTGAGACTATGGTTGAGCTGCAAGCACAAGAGCGCACTATTCCAACTTGTGCGTTAATCGACTCGGGGTGTCAAGCCCTTCTTATCAGCCGAAGGTTCGCAGATGCGCACCTCCCGGAGCCTGCAATAGGCCCGCGGAGGATAGTGGCCCTAGATGGTCACCGCATCCGTTGCTACGGACGCTACAGGCTGAGGGCAACCACCCAAGATTGCCACGGTGTTCGTAGAACGATTGAAAGAACATTCGATGTGGTTGATATGGACCATTATGATGCGATTCTAGGATACCCTTGGTTGAGAGAGGCGAACCCAAACGTCGACTGGGAACTAGGAACATGGGAATACCGGAAAATACCTCCGGAGAAAGAAGTCGAGATAATCAACGAAGCAGAGGTGAATCGCACTTTAAGAGAGGGAAAACAAGTCTACGCAGCGTACGTATCCACAACCGAAAATAACCAGGTCGAAATCCGTGTGGGTTCTGCGACAATCGGCGAAGGAGTGCGAATACCCGCAATCTACAAGGAGTTCGAAGATGTCTTTTCGGAGGAAAATGCAGGGATTCTACCTGCGCATGCAGACCACGACCATGCAATTGATATACAACCGGGAAAGGAACCCCATACCGACCAATTTACCCCTTGTCCGAAAGTGAGCTCGCAGTTCTGCGCAGATATATTGAAGCAGCGCTAGAAAAGGGATGGATTCGTCCCTCGAAAAGCCCAGCTGGCGCACCTATTATCTTTGTACCGAAGTCCGACGGAACACTGCGACTCTGTGTGGATTACCGCGGTTTGAACGAGATTACTGTCAAAAATCGTTACCCCTTACCACTTGTTAGCGAGACTATGGATCGCTTGGCTGGCGCTAAGATATATACCAAACTTGACCTGAGAGACGCGTATCACCGCATCCGAATTAAAAAGGGGATGAATGGAAAACTGCATTTCGCACAAGATATGGTCACTTCGAATACACTGTCATGCCATTCGGGCTAGCCAACGCCCCAGCTACGTTCCAGTCCTATATTAATCGCGCATTAAGCAACCTACTAGACCATTGCTGTGTTGTTTATCTGGATGACATTCTTATATACTCGCAGAGTGAGGAGGAACATGTTGAGCATGTTACCGCAGTTTTGGAGAGACTGCGACAATTCGGGCTATACGCCAAGCTGAGCAAATGCTCATTTCATGTGAAAAGTGTGGAATACCTGGGATTTATCATCACGCCTTCGGGCATTCAGATGGAGGAAAGCCGTGTGGCTACCATCCAGGCTTGGCCGGAGCCAACAACCGTGCGAGAGATCATGATATTCCTGGGATTTGCAAATTTTTACAGGCGTTTTATTGAGGGTTATTCCCGCATTGCATTGCCGCTGACCCAGCTCACCCGAGGGGAGCAAGGGGGGAGGAGCAAAAGGCAATGGTTCTTGAACCAGCGCCTTGAGCTGCCTGAGGACGCAAGAGTTGCGTTTAATAAACTAAAAAGTGCGTTTTCGAGCGCACCATTGCTATCTCATTATGACCCTAGGAATAGGTCAGGGTAGAGACAGATGCGTCTGGTTTCGCTATAAGTGCGATAATCTCCCAATTACAGGATGATAACGAGTGGCATCCTGTGGCATTTTTCTCACGAAAGATGACCGATTCTGAACGCAGGTATGATACGCATGACCAAGAGTTGTTAGCGATCATTAAGCATTCAAAGTTTGGCGACATTACCTCGAAGGGAGCGGGGAGCCAATAGTGGTGAAGTCTGACCATGCCAACCTAAGCGGTTTCATGCGGCCCACATTGAAGCGGCTTAATGGACGTCAGGCGAGATGGGTCGAGTTGCTGAGCGCGTTCGATTTTCATATTGAGCACCGACCTGGGGTAAAGAACCCTGCAGATGCGCCAAGTAGAAGGCCAGATTATCTGCCGAGCGCAGATAAAGTAAGTGATGCGTCACTGCTTCCCACATTGCGATCAAAGTTGAAATTGGCCATGGGCAAGAGTCATTGGGATGACGCACCCAATGAGTTAAAAACCGCATGGGCGGGAATAATGGCGCTGGACACCGAAGGCGGGTCCAAACAATTAAATAAAATGAGCTCTGATGCGCATATCTCCATGGGGAGTATGCATGCCCACGTGGATAAGAACGCACCCGTGGATGAGGACTGTGCTGCCGGCGTTACCAGAATTCTAGACACCTGGGTGCCACGGATCTATGTCCGCAAGGTTATTGGATCCGAATCAGCTTACTCCAGCATTGAGGAGTCCATGGTGGACTATTTGTGCAAATTGCACCAAGAGAATCGCGAGGTACGCGATATTAAGCGAAAAGTTGATCGCAAGCTGGGGGACTATGGCAGTCCGGCCTGGGGAATTGGCAAAAATGGCCTACTCAGGTACCAAGGTCGCGTTTATGTCCCAGAATTCCTGCGGTAACACATGAAATTTGAAAGCAAATCATGATATCCTCAGGGAGGACATTTTAGAGGAAAACGCACCTTGGAAGCCGTCGAACGCAAATACTATTGGCATGGTATGCGTCGTGATGTGCTGGATTATGTGAAAACCTGCGATATTTGTCACTACTCGTATTCAAGTGCATAGACACGCACCTTATGGCAAGCTGGAGCCTTTGCCGGTGCCAGAGCAGCCTGGGGAAGTGCTGACTCTTGATTTTATTACTGGACTACCGCCCAGTTCACCGAGTATATCTGCCAGCCCAGGGGGCACAGAGAGTTATGATGCGATATTAGTGGTTGTGGATGACACTACTCGTGTTCGCACTTTATATTCCTTGCAATAAGGATATCTCGGCGCCAGAACTCGCACATTTGGTTTATCAAAAGGTGGTACCCATGTTTGGTAATCCAAAGCGATGGGTGTCGGACAGGGGCTCGCTGTTTACCAGTAGCTACTGGTCGACACTGTGCTATTGCCTAGGATCGAAGCGGAAACTGTCTACTGCGTTTCATCCGCAGACAGATGGTCAGACAGAACGCCAAAACCAAACATTAGAGTATTACCTGCGAGCCTATGCGAGTTTCTTGCAAGATGATTGGGTTGACTGGCTGCCAATGGCACAAGTTACATATAATGCTGCGATTCATTCATCCACAAAGACAAGCCCACATGAAGCATTGATGGGCTTCGTCCCTAGCCTGAGAATCAATGTCGATCCTGATCCCACTGGCCATGCGCCAGCAGCGTTGGAGCGCGCAACACAGCTCAAGGAAAAGCGATCCTTGGTCAAGGATGCGCTTGAAAAGGCGCAAAAAGCCATGGCAAGGCAATATAATAAGCGTCGGATCGACAGACAATTCAAGATTGGTGATCAAGTCATGCTACGGGCGAAGAATGTCTCTACAGTGCGACCTAATGCGAAATTAGACCACCGCCAGCTAGGCCCATTTTCCATTATTGATGCATGGGGAAACCAATCGTACAAGCTTCAGCTACCACCAAAATATCGCCGTCTGCATCCCGTTTTCCACGTGTCTTTGTTGGAGCCATACCATGAACGACCGGGTCAATGGAGCCGACCCCGCCAATACCAATTAATGGCGAAGAGGAGTGGGAAGTGATCAAATTCTGGAGGAAAAACGCGACAAGAGTGGTAACATAAGCTATTTGGTGCGATGGAAGGGCTATCCACCTGATGACGATACCTGGGAACCAAGATCGCACGTCGAAGACACTGAAGCCCTGGACATCTGGCTTACTAATACAGCACCTGTTACCCGACGACGTACGCGCTACATGGCTAAAGGAAAATAGCATTCTATTTAACTAAGACAAGATGGCGCAACGGCCCAATAACACCGACCTCCCACCCAAAGAGACAACTCAACCCTTGAAGGGGAAAGGACCGCATCAACAAAACGACCCAGGCGACTGGGAGTCGCAGGAACGGGAGCCATGGGCGAATGCGATGGAGTGCGTTCAGGGACAGGCACAGATGTACTGCTATCCACGCGTGGTATTCGAGGTTTTCGAACCGCACGTCTATACTCCCTTACCAGCCCAGCCGCCCTCTCCTGCGCAGCAGGGCGACGAGACTGGGGAAGTCCAACAAACGTGCGATGTTCAGTAACCATAGAAACAGCCAAAGGACCAGCGGCAACCTCCGGAGCGACACAAAGGGTGTCGCTGGCCAGTACAATAAACACAGTTTAAACGACCTGGCAAGAAAACACACGCTGACGCAGCATCTCGCTCCAAACGAACAAGGCAACGGTGGCACCAGGGACTACCCCTGGGCCAAAGGCAAACCATTCGTATCAACATGGACCGGCGCAGGGGTAGTCTGCACCTGGACGACCGAAGCCGCCGATGGAGACAAAGGGGGCGATGAAACTTTCGCACAAATTAGCAATATTACCTTACATAAACGCACCGGACTTACCAGACACGTCCGGAGAGGGCGATTCGACTCCGTCCGGCTCCGCCGAAGCAGGAGAGGATGGAAATCCCTCCCATTCCGGCGAAACCGAGCGGGGCGCAGGTGTGAAAACGACATCGTCTTCAGAGGATGAACGAGGACGAACTCCACGGAGAAGGCGACGGCGTCGTGGGGCGGATTCTCCCGATGGAGGCGACGAAGCTTTGCGGCGAGCCATCTGCGAAAACACCCATATTAGTAAGCTCAAAACATGCGAGAAAGCGCTGGAGGAGCCGTTACCCTTATTAGCTGAGGCAGAAGAGTGCGCACGTACCGCAAGAAGTTTGGTGGTTTGAGAAGAGAAGAGGAGAAGAAAAAAAAGAAGAGAGAGAGAGGAAGCAAAAAGCTCAGCGTCAACAACAGAACTAAGCTCAAACGGGCGAAAAACTGCAGTGAATGAAGCAGAACTGTTGCCATGGAGCGACTACCTGCGAAAACACACCTACACTCACCCAAGCTCCAAGACATCGTACCAAACATCGATCAACCGCACAAACCATTATGGGAAGGACTCAAGGGATTGGAATCTATAACACATTACCCATCATAACGCATATATTCATACTACAGTCTTTAAGGCTTCGAGGGCGAAGCCTCTTGGAGGGGAAGATAGTGTTAGGAGCGCTCGGAAGCGCGATAGCTAGATCCTGTCAGATATACGGCTAATCCCGAAGAGGAAATAGAGTACGATTGGTGAAAAGGTCTTATTTGAATGAATTGAGCTGGTTGGGCTCTTCTTGATTATTCTTCTTGGTTATTCTTGATTGATTATTTTGTTGTGTGCTCCACGGGGGTTTTACCCCGATCCAGTCACATGATTCTGGTCCACCAACGGCCATATTATTTGACACACCCCCTCAGATTCGAACCTTTCCTTCCAATTTCAGCAACCTTGAAGCTATTCCGGGTCGAATCTGACATTCAGTCATATCCGTTCAGTGTTTCCATCAATCCTTTTGACTCCAGAGATGTCCCGAAGTCCTAGCTGATCCACAAACGGCTCGAATTTCTGCCGTGGCAGTGCTTTTAGTGAGTCCATCTGCCAGCATCTTGTCTGTTGGTGTGTAGCTGACTTGGATTCTTCCTTCCAGAGCTTCCTGCCTGAGCCAATGATTATGGATATCCACGTGTCGAAGCCTTGTCTGAAGTCGGTTTATATCTTTATGCACAAGCCGGATTGTTTGGAGATTGTCACAGAAGATTTGAATCCGTTGGTCCTTCTTTCTCTTATCCAGTTGAACTCCAAGCTCTTTAAGCAGTCTGCTGATGAATATTCCTTCTCCAGCTGCGTGGGACAACGCTAGAAGCTCTGCCTCAGTGGTAGAAGTAGTCACCGTTGCCTGCTTGTTGGCCCTCCATCCTACTACTCCTCCAAACAACTGCATTATATATCCTTGCGAACTCTTTCGATCCTCCTTGTTATCCGCAAACGAAGCATCGCTGTACAGGATGAAGTCATCTCCACCCCCAGTTGCAGCGCTAGGTCTTTCGTTCGTTTAAGGTATAAAAGGACGCGGTCAGCCGCAGCATGGTGTTCGTCGCTTGGATTGGTAAGAAAGCGGGATAATTTGGACACTGCAAAGGCTATGTCTGGTCGTGTGGTGACTGCTGTGTACATTAAGGAACCGTTCTTCTTCTGATATCTCTGAATACTTTGGCGTGTGGCTTGTCCGGTGTAGATAATAAGCTCATCTCTGGTTATTGGGACAGTATCTGAGGTTCTTGAATCCGCTAGGTTAGCAATCTTCTCTATATAAGAGGATTGACTTAGCCATATAATTCTTTTCTCCCGATCCCGGATTATCTCTATACCAAGAAACCACTGCAGTTTATCTCCGCCAGTCATCTTGTACTGGTTTTGGAGCTGATTAACAATTTGGTCCAGTATCTCTTGATTCTTGCAGCCCTTTTGGTATGCAAAGATTATGTCGTCAACATAGAAGAATACTAGAATACCATTTTTAATCATGCAACATGGTTCATGAGGAATAGGATTAAATCCTAGGTCTTGAAGGGATTTCTTGAAGTGCTTTTGCCATAGCAATGGTGATTGCCTCAGTCCAAACAGGGCCCTTTTAAGCTTCAGGATTATACCTGGCTTTTGGTATCCTGGTGGCATCTGCATAAAGACATCCTCATCGATATCTGCATAGACAAAGGCATTGGTAATGTCATATTGCACCAATTCCAAGTCAAATCTTGCAGCTGTAGCCATTAGGATTCGGAATGATTGTATAGCCAGTGTTGAAGCATAAAGATCTTCTGTTTTCCTTTCTTGTTGGTCGCCGCGTACAACCAGACGGGCCTTGCACTTTTGCAGTCTTCCTTTCTGGTCAAACTTGTACGCGTACACCCATTTGCAATCCAGGATTTGCCTGCCTTTGCATTTAGGATTATGCCGGCTTATTTCTTGCCATGTACACATATCCTCATGTCCCTTAAGATGATCTTTTTCAGCCTGCTTGAACTGTTCGCCAAGTGGATGATTAATAAGATCTCTGTGGTGGACTGGCTTAGGTGGCAAATCTCTGTGGTGCAAATCCTTTTCAGGTTGTCGAAGTAATCGTTCTGATTGTGCCTTGGTTGTTCTCTCTCCGGGTCGTTTCGGTTGAATTAATGGTGCAGCCAAAAACGATGCTTTCCATGCAGCTAAGTGCGATGATTCTTGATTAGATCTAGCTGGGGAACCAATAGCTAATAGCGAAGCTGGTTGTAGATATTCTGGCGTCTCCGGTGGTGTTGGATAGACTAGGTCTTCAGCATCTTTCTGACCTATTTCTTCCGCCAAATCCATAGCTGATTGTGCCATATCCACCAGAAAGTCTAAAGAATCAAAATATCCAACTACTTGCTCTTCTTGTTGGCTTGGTGGCGACATAGACTCTTCGGGAACCTCAATATTCTTGATCATCTGGTTGAAATCTTGGATGGATATCTGCCGGAATTGATCCTGCATGATTGCTAGTTCGGACAGATCCCCAGAGAACTGCTCGTCTTCATTGAATATCACATCTCTTGTACGGATGACTCGGTTTAGGCGTGGAATCCAGATTCGGTAGATATTAGTGGAATCATATCCAACTAGATATCCAATATGCGCTCTTGGATTGAATCTCTGTTTCCGGTTTGACTTCTTCAGTGCTTCTGTGGTCATGGCGAAGGCTTTGCATCCATATACTTTTAGATGCGCTTGCTGAGGCTTTCTGTCATGGATTACCATGCCGTCTTGGTGCGCAACGTAGGTATGGAATCGATCGAAAGGCGTTTTCCAATTGGTTTGGTACTGAGGTGTTCGATTGGAAAGATAGACTGATGCACGTACAATCTCCGGCCATAGAAATGCAGGTAATCTAGCATGTTCCCGCATTGCTCGAGCCTTATCCTTTATTACACCCCTGAGCGCTCTGCACCACCGTTTTGAGCACTTGTATAAGGTGCGGAGGGCTCAATCTTTATAAAATAAGGATCTGACTGCAGAAAGGCTGCAATGCGAGGCTTTTGGCCCACAGTTTCATTGTCACATTCAATAACCTGAACCTTTATATCCATTCGCCCAAGTGTTCCAAGTAAATGCCTCAAAGCGTGGATAATTGAGTCAGCCGTTCGGTCCTCTAGGTAGTAATCCCAGATAAAACCTGACCACCGATCAGTTGCTAGCATCAAGCTTTTCCAACCACCATAGCCAGCTTCGAAGTCATGGAAATCAATGGCTAGGCGTTGACCCGGTCCCTCTATAAAATCCGATGGAATTCTGCTAACCTGACGCTTTAGCTTTGCAATCCCGCAGGCGTCGCATTCCACTGTTGTCGGTCCACCTCTAATCCTTGCTCCTTTAGTTGAATTGACTAGATGCTCCAAGGTAAGAGGTCCAGGATGTCCAAGTCGAAGGTGCCATTGGTATGCATCTGCCCGTGCAGATCTTGGTGTAGAATGGAACGATGATTGAAAGCGGTTTCGGCGATTAAAAAGACTTCCTCTTGTTATATTCATGGGAAGGTATTCAATCACAAACTGGTCGAACTGGTCTTCAATCTGCGCAATCGGTCGATTATCTTGATGTCGGAGGATGTTTTGCTCTGGTCGATTATCCCACCATATTCCGGCCTTATGCAACTGGCGTAGAGACACTAAATTGCAAGCCATCTTGGGACAGAAAGCAACATCTTGGAGGTGCAGTATTGACTTCTTTCCACCTAATCTAACCTGAATATCCACATTGCCATATCCATGGATCTCCACCTTTGAATCTCCGGCCCATATAAAGTCACCTGGTTGTGCGGTTTGAAAGTCGTTGAATCGAGTGATTTCATTAAAGATATGGATAGTGGATCCGGAGTCAAGAATAGCTGAATTCTTTAATGGATAGGTATCCGGTAATGTCGCAAATGAAGCTGGAATTCTTCCAATCTGTCGTTCAAGTAGTCAATCTTGATTCCTCAAGCTCTTCCACTCTTCAACCTCTTTGGCAAATTCCTTGTCTGTTTGAAGCAGATGATTAATAAATCTCCTAATTACAGCACGTTCCTTAAATCCTTTAGGGGCCTCTTGAGGGAAAAAGATAGAAACAGGCCTTCCATTCATGCATTTGCCCACATGCTTTGCAAGCTACCTTTGTCTTCTTGGCTATATTGCAGCTCTCGAGATTATTAGGCTTTTGCTTGCGCTTCTGGGTATAGCTTTGACCTTTTGGTGCGTGATTCAATTCCGTGCCTTCAGTCTTAGCTTCTTCAGCATCAAAGGTTGGACCAAATGACCCTTTGGCAATATTGCTGCTCTGTTGAATCAATTTGGTATCCAAACCTTTTCGGAAGTCTTGTGCTACCAGTCTGAATGTCAGGTTGTCTGATTCAATATCCTTACTCTTAGCAATCTCATATGAGGTTGCCCATACCGGGTTTAAAGTCCGTACAGCATTCAGGAAATCCTCAATCCAGTCACTTGTGGTTGCAGCCACTGCAATTCTAGCTTTTTCGGCCTTGTGCATTGCTTCTTCCCAATTGTTTAACCAGGTAAGTACATCCCGAGGTCTTGTGACAGGTTTAATGGCCTTTTTATACGCTTCGCGGGCAAGTTTCTTGACTGTGGCATCATCAATTCCCACCCGTTGCTTTAGTTTGGCGTACCATTCCTTCATCGAATCCTCTGGATCGCAGCAATATTCATACACTTGTGGAGAAATAGTCTTCTGCATCCACTCCCGCAGTTTGCTTAGTTCAGTTTGTTGAAGAATATAGTCGTCACGAAGGCTTTTGTAAACAGTCCAAGCAAATTGTCGATCAGCAAGGGAGGTAGGATT